CAAAAAAAAAAAAAAAACTATGGGTAAATAATTTACCTATACGCATTTATAGGTATATTGTAAAATAATTTACCTATACTCATTTATAGGTATATATTATATATATTGTAGGTATATTGAACCTCGCACATTTATAGGTATATTTCAAAATTAATTATACTTATAATACAAAAAAGGTAAAGTATTGTTCTTTAAAATTGGCACATTTTGTAACAATAATATTAATACGAAATATACCCCCAAAAAAAAAAAACTTAAAGTACCTATTTTCTGGCCCAATTTTTGTGTGCGTAAAAAGTGTACCTATATATATATACCTATATTTTCTATAAATTATTGTGTACCTATATTTTCTATAAATTATTTTTTATAGGTACATTATTTGGATATGTAATTTACATAGAGTAATGCTATTTGGACACACAACATTGACACACTTAGTTGACACCCGCTGATGTGTCAATGTATTATTCGTTGAACAGAAAACGAGGAGAAAAGAAGAGCAAATGATATATTGACACATCAGCGGGTGTCACTAAGTGTGTCAATGTTGTGTGTCCAAATAGCATTACTCATTTACATATATGTTTTTTGGTTTGCAATTTTAAGGGGCGATGTGTTAGAGGAAATGGAAACCAAAAAAAATGGGGTGATTGATATGCTATTAATAGGGAGTATTAATTATAATTATAGCAGTTAATGAAATGCTTGAAATAAATTATAAATTGAATATTAAGGTAGTTCACATATACTGTAATTTAGTTAATAATATTAGGACAAATCTATCTTACATGGAGACAATAGGGTGTTTGTTTATGAAGTTTGGTGGCAACGATGTAAAAACATATGAGTACTATGACCTCTTATATCCTATTGGTCATTTAAGTTTGAAATTGAGTTTTACACATAAATTTATAAAGTGATTGGGTATATGTTTAGGAAATAGAAAATATAGGGCCCTAAGGCCATCTCCAGTCATAGGGCTAAATGTAGTCCATGACTAAAAATTTAGCCCTCTAAAATATTAATTTTTTAAAGAATAGTGTATGGCTAAATTTTTCCATCTCCAGCCATGCATGGCTATATTTTAGGATTCTTCATATTTTATTATATATATTCAGCTATCACATCAACTTACTTTACTATTAGCTTTTAAAAAGCAAATGCATGGGCCCACAAAAATTTGGCCTAGACTAAAGGTGGGCTATATGTGGCCTAGTTGGAGGGCTAAAGGGCCAAATGTGGCCCTCCAAATTTGGCCAAAATTTTATTTAGCTCATGGCTGGAGATGGGTTTTTGCATTATTTTAGGGCTATATTTGGGATATATCCCATGGCTGGAGATGGCCTAACTATACAAGCGGCTAGATATTCAAGCAGTGCACTCACCGGTAAAGATGGCCTGCAATGTGCTCCTCCACCTGAGCATCATTATTATTATAGTACTGCAAGGAATGATAAACAGGTACCTGAGATTTTCATGTCACCAATTTTTGGATGGTGGTGCTTTCTGAAGGTGAGGCTTAAACCAACCACCAATTTCAATTTCAATCTGAACGATCTGACTGAATGAGAGGATTGTGAACAGGCAATGGTATTAATATAGCTTCAAATTTAATTCATCGTGCTCATTCTTTGCTGTTTGTTTGACCGGCCATCTCAATTTCCAGGAAGCAACACTTGCCTTTTAAGTCGGGTTTTCTGAAAACGCGTACTTACCTGGAAGAAGGCTTAATAATAAGAAACTGAGAACGCCTCTCCTTCCATTAGTGATATGGCTAAATATTTCTTTTTCAAAACCCCCTCCCCCAATCAGGGGGGGCTCTGAGATTTTAGACAAAAATTAGTAATAGAGTCTCCTAAAAGAAAGTTTTGAACAAAACTATATAAAAAGAATTGGACCATATATATCGATAGCAAATTTAAAATTACTCACAAATATTTATTTATTTATTTAATATATAAAGAATCATCAAACAAATAATTCAGCAAGTAACATAAAATCAAAAAATCATGTTTCTTCAAATTAATAATTACAATTAACAAATAATAATAACAAACCTGTGGCTGTTGGATTTAGTATTAATCAAGAGCTTCTATTATATATAATTTTAATGTATTAATATATTCTGTAGGATCAACTTAAAAGAAATAGTGGATATAATTTATTTTTGGAGGTGAATATATCATATATTAAGTTAGAACAAATATATGACACATAATAATAAAGTAATATATACGATGAAACAAGAAAACAATAATTTGGGAGCCATCTTAAAATTGGGAGCCTGTGCAAGGGTCAAACTTGCACGGGAGCGGATCTACTGTCCCCAAATTGCGTATTTTGTGAATTTTTTTAATTGTTAAATAAAAAAATTAACAAAGTTAATCCTAAGTTAAGTTAGTTGACATGTGAACAAATTAGTGGAAGGCATGAGGGACACACATTTTGGGGACAATGGATCCGCTCCCACCTTGCACAACCAAAAGTCCCCTCTGCCCCCAATATCGCTTGCTTAAGAAAAAAAAAACAATAGTTAATGCAAGAAACACCACTGTCGGTTAGGACCTAACTACTCACGGTTAGTACGAAGGTTACCACGGTATAATTTATCCTAGTCTTATCAATCATTTAATCACCAATAAATTAACACTACTAGAGTTAATTAACTCTATGTTTCCGTCCTAAGTTAAGTTAGTTGACATGTGAACAAATTAGTGGAAGGCACGAGGGACACACATTTTGGGGACAATGGATCCGCTCCCACCTTGCACAACCAAAAGTCCCCTCTGCCCCCAATATCGCTTGCTTAAGAAAAAAAAAACAATAGTTAATGCAAGAAACACCACTGTAGGTTAGGGCCTAACTACTCACGGTTAGTACGACGGTTACCACGGTATAATTTATCCTAGTCTTATCAATCATTTAATCACCAATAAATTAACACTACTAGAGTTAACTTTGCCTGCAGAAACAGACAAAACCTCATCCTAGGATTTTTTAAAGAAATTTTTTCTCTTTGTTTTTCTTCATAATAAGAAGAAGAAGTCAGCCAAAAATTCTTTCTCAGCCTGCACTTCACAGCCTCTAGATGGTTTGACTCGGGATTGTTTCCACTTTCAAAAGCATTCCAATTAATTATATTTTACGAATATCTTAACCTACAAAACACACAAACATAGGTAAGTGACTCAAAATAAAGAGAAACTAAGCAAAATCACTAAGTAAAGAAGGCATGCAAGTGTATGAAATTATGGACTTATCAAAATAGAAAATGAATTAAAAGCACAAGTTTAACTCAATAACATAACCAAATCATAAGCTAGAAGGGTACAAAATGATATACAATTATGAACCGATCAAAATACACAAAGAAGTTTGGATGGGTACGGGCACGTTGTCTTAGCCAATTGGCCCTTGTCAAAATGGTATCTTCCTCCAA